TGCTGATAACAGACCCTAGAGTGTCTACAGACTCAGAGGAACAGACATGAAGGGATGTGTCTGTTTTTCCTGAACACATAAAGAGAAACCAACCATGTTTAGACAGCTTGGGTGTGTATAAACTAAAGATGAGCTACAGAGCTAGGCTCTTTTTATGGAGTGACATTCTGGAGATGCAGATGAAAATCAGAGTGATTTGAATCTTTGAGTCCCAGAAAGTTACAAGAACAGCTGTTAGAAGGCTTAAGTAATTGAAATGTGTGGAATCTGGGGGTGCTTAGTTCTCTTCTGGAGTACATAGTGTCTGATTATTTTTCTTTGGTACATAACACTCCATTATTCCCTACGTCAGGTGTTATTTTTTCTTGAGCAGCAACCAGGGGATGTAACTCTTGCTGAGAAGGCTGACAGATGTTATCAGTTTGGGGGGTTTTGTTGCAGGAAATTTCTTAAAGCTCCTATTCCAACAGTCAGGTGATTATATTAAGAGTTTCAGCTTTCAAGGAAGCTTAAGGAGTAGGTCTTGAACCTTTCTCCGTCTGATCTGACAGGGATATAGCTAGACATGCCAGGGCACAGCAGTGCTGGTCAGGCCTCTCTCACAAGAACTCTACAAAGCCATTTCACCCTTCAGCATGGCTGGGTCTATAAAACCTCGATACTTCTTAATAACCAAGGAAAGCAAAACCACCAGAAGCTACTGTGTTTTGGGAGATGTAAAACTGATAAGCAATATACAGTGACAGCAGCAACAAAACATTCACTCATCCATTCCACCAGCCCTCAGCTAGGTAACAAGTTCACACACAACCACTGCTTGCACATACACCCTACAACTACCATTGCAGCGTTTCCTTGCTGCCCTGGCAGACTATAAGAAAGCAGGAAAGCGTGCAGAGACACTCCAGGGCATGATTAGTTGGTTATATACTCTGTGGAAAGCATAATATACAGCAAACGCTTGTCACAGCAACCTTAATGTATGGAGAATTACTTGCAGAAAATTGCAGAAAAACTGATTTTAATTACAGGAGCCAATGTAATTAGCAAGTAAGCTATATCTAGACAATGTAAGAGAAAGAGAAAGCCTTTTTACAAAGATATTTTGTTTCTTCGATTAATTGAGAGCTTAATGGGCATTGTGTTCATATTCAGTTATTTTATTTAGTGTATGCTCCTGTTCAGTTATTTATTGTGTCCTCATGGGCAGCTCTGAAGCAACTGAAGGGAAGAAACAGGCAAGGGGTCGCTAGCTTCGTGTTTCTGATCCTCAAACCAATGTTATATTGGCAACTATGGTCACCAGGAATAAAATTTGTGTGGCCTAGTAAAAGTGTGAACCTGTGAAATGTCTGTGTCTGAGTTAGTCACCCTGGGCTCACTTTGTAAGTATTGGAGAAACATGGACATCTTTAGTGGGAAACGCATCTCATCCTATGGTAAAAAACACTTTTTCTCTGTAAAGACCAGGGTGACTTGCTTAGACTTAAGATACTGACTTTGTACATCTAAAGGTAGGACTTAAGTGATCTTGAGCAGCTACAGAGAATCAAGGCTGCTTATCATTTCATCTAGAATGCCACTGGATTTCTCTACTGAAAGAGACCGTGTAATAGCAACCAGAAGCTAAGATTTCCCTCTACTGGACAAGTAGTTTAACCACCGTTTTAGACTCTAGCTTGACGAATCCTTGCTTTTTCTGCATGTGGCACAGCTTATACAAAAGGGCAGATTATGGCACCAGGTTCTAACTTAGTCTACCAAACCTTGCTACTGAGGGCAAGTGGCAGGCAATATATTGGGTTTTTTTCCAAAAAGATGCAGGGATTAAATTAGAGTTTTCCACTTCCTATGTGTTTATTTTGTAAAAGGAGAATAATAGTAGTGGTGGCTTCAAACAGAAGGCTGAACCTCTGCTAGGACTGTAAGAAGGGCACAGCTGCTCGCCTTCAGGAAAAGGCAGAGAGAGCCTAAGTAGATGAAGCCAGGAATTCTCCTTTCAGGGTTCTTTTATACTGAGAGTGCTAATTGCTGTTAAGCACCTAGCTTGGCAAAGCCTGGGCACCTGACTTCAGGAGACCAGACCTAGGACTTACTCTTTGGGTTTTAGTCCTCCTTTATAAAATAAAGAAAAAAACTCCTTCTCCACTTTTCAGGGACTCTTTAAAATAAACAGATAGATCAGAGATTCTCAGGGGATCAGATACTGAGGTAATGTCACAGTACAAGTATTTTAAGATTTTATCCTACATCCTTGTATCCTAATGATTTCATATTCTTGGCCCTTGAAAATGTCTATAGTAGCAGTTAAGCTTTTTCTAATAAGAACTTAAGAGGATGGGCATTATGTAATGCCCAATTTCAGAAGTATTTTATGTTCTCTGACATTTCTTGTCATGTTTCTGATAAAGACTGAGCCATTAGACAAATTCCTACTTTGGTGTAGTTACCTTCAGAGGTGCCAGGAAATGCCGATCAATTTTTTTCTGTCTAATTTGCCTTTAAAAAATTCCATTTTTCTTTCTCTGTAGTTGTGATGGCTAGAATGTGAAAGGAAACAATTAGCACATTAGAAGGGGATGAAACAATATCATTCCACTGTCCCGAAATGGTACTTCCCGTGGGAATTAAACCATGGGCTGGACACCAAGTTCCAGTTTGCACCTCTTGCCAAATTGTCCTTACAGCCTTTATTGAAATAAAATGAAGTTGGACTAGTACTGACAGCAATGATCTAAACTCTAAGTAGTATCTATAAAGTAAAATTAAAAAAAAAAAAAAATCAAAATATTTTTACATTTTAAAGGTTGACACACAGGAGTCAGAGAATGCAGAACTGGGACATTTTAAAGAACATCAGTTTGGCCTCATTTGTGTCTGCATCTTTTCCTACATAATCTGTCACTTCTTTTTATAGCATTCCATCAGTTAGAGCACAAAGGCTGGTACATCATCCGTGCCGAGTTATTCAGTGTTTCTTCTACAAAAGCGAAATAGGCAACTTTGAATTTTCAGTTTGTCTTAAACATCCGATTGTACACTTCAGTTATTAAAAAAAGCATTCATAGTATTTGAATGTATGAAGATTTAAGAAATGGTGAAAGCCCTGGAAATCAAGATAATTAAAAAAAAAAAATCAGCTAATTTCCTCCCATTTTTTTTCAAAGTATAATTTGTGAGAGCTTTCTCCTGAGTATCTCTCAGTGCTTCAGCAACTCTAATCTCCTGATTATACACAGATCTAATGTTATTTTAGACCATTTTATGACACCTATCACAATCACTATCTTCACTGACAGACTGGAAAACTTTACTTTCCTTAAATTTTCTCAGTGTTGTCCAAAAACTGACAAAAAGGGGAATTCCATATTCTAAGTGCCAAGCTAATTTTCTGTCTACTCAAGGTCATGAACTTATTTTTTTAATCCAGAATTTATGTAACATTTCATTTCACAATATGCTGGACAGAAAATGTCCCACTTTATGTTTTTATACTTTGGAGTATAAAAGTATATGGAGTATATTTGGAGGAGCATTTCCCACATAGTGTTATATCTGAAAAGGTTAGCCAATACTACCAAAAAAGCAGGTGGAAGAAAATTTATTTTAATGTGTCCCCACGAGGACATTTTTGTGCTGAAACAACAACATCGATCTCATGTGTTGAGAAGCTTGGTGCATAGACTGTTAAAAGAGGGCATGTCTGTGTAATACTCTAGGTATCACCCACAGACTGCTATATTATTAAATACCGTTAGAGGGATATATTCATGGCTTTGAATATATTGGAATGCAGAGGATGTCTGGATGTACAACATACTGCAGTATGCTTCTGAAAGCCTGTTGCATACTAAGAAAGATTACAGTATCTCCTACAGGCAAAGATGGCTAAAGCACCAGGATTAGTTTTGTAGTTTAACTTGGTTCTATTACTAAATGTCTGAACTTAAATTTCCACAAGATATTTCTTTTTGTGCAAAGTACCAGTCCAGCCTCCTACATAACATTCGCCAGTACCACCACTGAATCCAGCAGATTTCATACATTCCTCTATCTCACAGGACTCTAAGGGAGACTGAGGAAACACTGTGTGCATCATGTAGACTGAGCAGAAAGTATGAAAGGCAGTAATAACCAGAGTTGCATGAAAAGAAATAATGGGCCACCAGAATGTAAAGGGAAGAACACGAGCGACAAGTTACACAAAAATGAAACGTACAACTCCTTCAGTACATCCTTATTCACCACTCCCATTTATAGATCACAGTGAGATTCCTGTAAGCATAAACCCCAAACTTTTACATAAGAATCACCACTTGGCACTGCACATCTTTTTAAGAAGATGCATAGTTTTGCTGGGATTGCAGAGCTTGCCCCCTGCGTTTCTCTTTAAAGCAGCGGCACACCTCTCCCCTTGTGGGCCACAGGCTGAGCCCAAGCAGGCGGCTTGGTGCAACGCCCATTACAGCATGGGATGCGGGTACAACAAAACCACCTTCCCAAAGCCTCGCCCTTCCCCACACCTCACCATTCATTTCCTACAGAAAGCACGGCTGCACGGAGTTTCAATAAACAGCACTGCAAGGTTGGCCTGGGCACCCAGCCCACTGCCCTGCCGCGAAGCTCTCCGAACCCGTGCGGAGGAAAGGCAGCAAAGCCTCCTCCTGCCCGCCCACCTCACACAGGGAGGCAGCCCACGGGAAACCAAGGGCGCAGCGTTTCTCTCCAACATTAGGGAGAGAAACGCTGCACCCAGGCAGCGACGCCCTGAAGGCTGACCCTTAGGCTGGGCAGGGAAAGAGCCCCCCACGCACCCCGCCAAACACTCCCTCCACAGCGACGGTGCCCGAGAAGGTTGTGTGGGGGAAGACGAAAAGTCATGCAGCGCTCGCGGCTCCCGCCCCGCAGCAGGCGTCCCTGCGCAGGGTCTGTCTCTTATACACA